TAGAGGTCAGAAAAAATATGGTGGGCTATAAGAGGTTGCTGGAAAGCCAAGATGACATTCACATGGTACATGTCAGCTGTGGGGTTGGAAGTGTACTGTCCTATAGAAATTAGAAATTCATAGAATCATAGAATCACAGAATCCTAGGGGTTGGAAGGGACCTCAAAAGATCATCTAGCCCACCCCCCTGCCACAGCAGGGTCACCCAGAGCACATCACACAGGAACGCATCCAGGTGGGTTTTGAATGTCTCCAGTGAAGGAGACTCCACAGCCTCCCTGGGCAGCCTGTTCCAGGGCTCTGTCACTCTTACAGTAAAAACTTTTTTTCGGATATTCACCTTGAACCTCCTATGCTCCGGTTTGCACCCATAAATAGATATTAACTGGTTTAGCAAATGCAATAGCAGTACCTAGTAGTACAACTACTAAACAGCAACAACAAAACAACCACCAAGAGTAGTTTTCCTACTCGTCACAAACTATCTTGAAAGAGATTTGTCTTATTAAATACTACATGCAAAATATCCGTCAGCAGCAAAAGTTACAAAACAGAGTGACATTGTTAGTCATTCCAAACCGCTTCAGGTGTAACACACCTCGCATTTGAACTTCTGAGGAAGCCAGGAGGTGGTCCTCGTGGACCTGCAGTTTCTTCTGTCTTGCAGCCACAGCTCCAGCCTGAGGTGCTCTGAGCGATGCCGGAGAGTGTTTTGCCATCTCGTGGCAGTTCGCAGGCGAAACAGTTCTGAGTGGCTATGGACACTCGGCTGCCCAGGAGGAACAACACAAGAATGGTTGTGGTGACTGCAAAATGGCACTACAAAGATTGGCAGCTGCACAGAGCAACCCAAACCCTATCGAGACCGCTATCTGCCCACGTGCAGCTCCAGCATGTTCTCTGCATGACCATGGTGGTATCTGAAATGAAGACAGAGAAACTAACCAACTTAATCGTGCAAAACTACCTAACTTCTGCCTAACTTGGGATACTCTAAAAAAAAACAAATCCAGACTGAATGGCCTGACCCTCCTGCTGACCTCCATCCCCAGACAAGCTGTTGCTGCCATGCCTAAAAAAGGGCTTTTCTCCAGTTTGTGGCCTCCTGCTCCCAGTGCATGCCCAGCTGCCCCAGTCCAAAGCAGGGTGCTCACCCTGCCCCTGCTGTGCAAGAGGGCAGAGGTAGGACTCAGCACCCATGACTTGCTGTGGGGGAGATCCTAGAGGAAAGGAAGTCAGGAGCAAGATCTCACTGGTGTCCCTGCTGTCCGTCTAGAAATATCTGCTCAGTGCCCACATCTGCTTCATGAGTACGACATGCTTGTGGTGTGGAGCAGTGGGGGGGAGGGATATCACACCTGGTGCCAGGGTAAGCCAGGAAGAGGGATGAGATGGCTTGATCTCAGGGACTATAGGTCCCACTGGCAAGAGTTTGGGCACTGCCAGTGCTGTGACTGCTGCTCAGGAGGGCAGGGGATTAAAGCACAAGGGTGCTCTCACCCCACAAAGGTGCAGGTGGCTCTCTTGACTGAGAAACTCCAAAGGCCACAACGGCTCACGAGGAAATTCAAAACTTCTCAGGAAAAGACTTTTCCCAGTGGAACCAGGTCGAGTATGTCTGTGCAGGTTGCGGTAAAGGAGCCACAAAGCTTCTGTTCCTCTGAGCTGTGTGGAGAGACAACCCCCAGAAAGATCCCTTTAACTGCCAAACTTACTTCTTTTCCACTCAGAAGTCAAAGATTCCCCTCTCTTCCGAAGCAGGAAAGTCACCGTGTTTATCCTACTCTACTGCCCTGTTTATTTGTTTGCTACTGGTGAATCGGAAAAAGAAATCCAAGGGTTGTTTCTGTGAACTTCAGAGTTGACAGATAAAAGGAAACCTGGAAAGTGATTATTTGGGACTACACTGCATCATGGTGTCTTAGAAATGTTTTGTCTAGAAACCTGTTTTCCTGCAAGACTCCTGAATTACATCAAATTAGTTAAGGTGAATAAGACTGTGAAGGAATATGGCCTGTCAGGGTTTGTAAAGTGTTGCTTTTCACAGGCTGTTTTAGGTAATTAGCTTTCTCTGCTCACTAATCCTTTCTGACTTTTAACTCTTTCTATACTGAAATGCAATAATACTTAACTTTATTATGGATCTTTGACCAATAATGTGATGTCCTCTCCTGGCAGCCCATGCTATCATAGTGCCTGATAAATTTAGTTATATTTTCCCCTGGTGACTCTTGTAATGCTTTCTGGTAATCCAGGGACGTCCAATATAGTGCTTCCTTGAAGGTACTATGGGCTTTTTTTTTTTTTTTTCCATGGTATTAGTGGTTTTCATCAGTTTGCAAGAATCTGTTTCAATTTCCTTGCTAGTTTCTGCAATGCCAGTCAGATGATTATTAGCTTCAGCACAGATTCATCTTTAATTGATGGCTTTACACTTTTTCCCTCAGGTGCTTACTGATTTTTTTTTTCTTCTGTCTTCTCTCAACAACTTAGTCTGTTAGACTTTGTTATTTACCCTGGAGAATTTCACTTGCTGACTGTCATCACAAAATCACCATCCAGGTGCAGAAGCCACCAAGGGGAGCAGAGCAAGTTGCAGGGGCCAGTGAAGTGGGAAGTTATGGCATAGGTATACAACGTCATGGACAGAGGGAACTGTCAGACCCCCTGAAGTAGGGACACTCGCTGCACACTGGCCACGGCACTGACTGTGGTGAGGAGTTGGGGCAGCTGCATCAGCTTCTCATCCTGCAGACACCTGAGGGCATGTTTCAGGGTGGTGCGGGTGATGCCAAGACCCTGCAAATATTGTTGCTAGCTGGTACTTCTTTTAATAAACTTAATTCACAGCTTTTGGGCTCAAACTAGTACACTTGTGATATTTGGAGCAGGGGGGCAGTGGTGCAGCCAGGATCACCCAGGGCAGGGTCAGCCAGGGGAGATTGCTGAGGCATGACTCAATTCAAGTATGACATTTATAATCTCTACTATGTTCCCCATAGTTGTCAATTTTAGGGCTTAAGAAAGTGCTGCTTTGGCCTTGATATACTACTACATGCTTTGGTGTTAGAATTGGTGGATGTGTTGCAATACCAGTTTCTTTACAGTCTCTTACAAACCATGATGTAAGATCTTCATGACTTTACTACAAATGGAAACACACAGAAAAACCCTGCCATACTTAAAATGTATTTTCTCCAGGAGGTGGATGCAAAGACCCCATTTTGATGCCTTATGATCAAGATAGTGCAAATAAGTTGCACCTCCTTTACTTTCATATATGCACACTGTTACTTAGATGTATATAGATGGAGTCTTTATGAATCCTGTGGCCTGACATTGCTTCTTGGAGAAACTGAGTACAGTGAAATGTATGAGCAAATCTGGATAATTTGCAGGCACGAGAAGCCAAGGCATTTCATGATGTTACACAACTTGCATTTTCATCTTTATTCTGGTTACCTGAGCTATGGAAGAATGACTGTGGTAAAGAAAATTTAAAAATACTTTTTCATGAATGCTTGTGCTGTTTTTCCCTATCCAGCTTTCCCATTAGTTTTCTGCTCTGCAGCAGGGGTTGGGAGGTGGCAATGGAGCAAACACCATCATGCAGACCCCAAAGCAATGGAAAAGAAGCCAGAGCCACAGGGCAGCCGTGGGGCAGCAGAACACATGCTGTGCATAATTTTCTGCCACATGCTGGGTTTGGGCCTTTAATTTCTTTAGTATTTTCTTGAAACTCAAGATTCAACGCCATTATCAGTAAGATTCTCTAACTGCCTTAGCTTAACTGGCCTAAAAATATGTGTGGTTTAGTATCCAGTAAATTACACACCTCCTTTAGAAATGTGTCTGCTCTGACATGAACTGAGTCCAGCAGCACTGAGAACCAAGGAAGAGGGGCAAAGAAAGGGAGGAGTGTCTGTACTTAGTCCCCTCAGGGCACTTTCCTTATGCCTGCAGGAAGCAGCATCCTGTACTACAAGAATGCAGCATCACTATGTTTTTAAGTCTAGAGCGTTTCAGAGATCTAAATCCTGTCAGCATGAGCTAAACCGAGTGAAATTTTAAATTTTTAAGTGTATGAATTAAACTGTATTCCCAACATATTTTCATATTGGAATTCGTCCAAACCCAGAACATTTTCACCCCAATCTGAGTGCATTTCTGCTCTCTGCAGTTTGAGTCCTTCACATAAAATTTGAACGTGTTTTCCTGCTTCATTTTTTTTCATTAATTCCACTACTTAGCAAAGATCCTCTCCAGAAACTGAAAACACGAAGCGTACCATGAAGAACAAAGAACAAAACCAAAAACACTGCCAGACAAAAACCGATCGGAAATTCTGGTACGTTTCCTTTGAAGACCCTGATTTCCTTCCACTTCCAGAGGAAGGCTTTAAAAACGCGGCTACTCCCCTGGAATAAAAACATCGTTTTGCCGCGGGGCTCGGCTGACCCGGGTGGGAGGGATCCCGCAGCGCTCCCGGCTGCGGGGCCGGGCGGCTCCGCGCCCCGCCCAGGGCCGCCCCGGGGCGGGCGGAGCTCG